GTTGGTTAGGGCCTCCATACATTGCTGAGTCTGGTCTTGAACTCATGATCCTCCTGCCTCAGCCTCCAGAGCCGCTGGAATTATAGGCATGCGCCATTGTGCCTGGCTCCGCTGAGATTTGTCCAGAGTGGTTGAAATATCTTTTTTAGGGCTGGGGTTGTGGTTCAGTGGCAGAGCGCTTGCCTAGCACATGTGAGGCCCTGGGTTCGAACCCCAGCATTATATAAAAATAAATAAATAAAATAAAGGCATTCTGTCCATCTACAACTACAAATTTTTTTTTAAATCCTTTTTTGTTCACTCATTTTTGTTATTGTGTATCATTCCATTGTAGGTATGTAACACAATCTATTCTGGCAGTGGGCTAAATAGTGTGTAGGGGGGCATTTCCTAATTATTTGGCTATAAGAAAAAAAAAAAAGCTCTTTTCCCATTCTTAGTGATGCTTTCTAGTAAGTACGACATGTTTCCAGCCAGAGTCTATGAGAAAGTCTTTTTCTTTTTGAGCACTACTTGGGCTTAAACCCAGGGGTGCTCTACCACTGAGCTACATCCCTGGCCCTTTTTATTTTTTTATTTTGAGACAAGGTCTTACTAAGTTGCCAAGTCCTCAGACTTGTGATCTTCCTGCCCTGGCCTGCCCTGTGGATTACAGGTGTGGTGCCCTTGCACCTGGACTTGTTTACTGCTGAGCTACTTCCCCAGCCCAACTTCTTTTCAATGTCTGGATAGTTTTTCTTGCATGATGTCCCGTAATCTACTTTGTGGGTGGCCATGGGGGCTGTTACTAGGCTTTCACTAGCACAAAGAGAACTTAAATGATCGGCCTGATATTTATCTATCAGTTTTCACATTGGCAAATGTATCTGTAGGATAAATGCTGCCTCAAAGAAGAGGTACAGTTTATTTAATGAATCACATTATTGTTTATTATCACTTCTTTCTCAGTTGTTGTTTTTTTTTTCCTGCTGTTATTTTTCAAAACTTATCTCCCCCCACCCCTGCCTTGACACTGGGGATTTGAACCCAGAGACACTGTACCACTGAGTTACAGCCCCAGTCACCATGTTTTTTTCCTTTTTGGTACCACAGATTGAGCCTGGGGGTGCTTAACCACTCAGCCACCTCTCCAGTCCTTTTTAAAATTTTTCATTTTGAAACAAATTGATTAGGGCGTTGGTAACTTGCTGAGGCTGGCTTTGAACTAGCAACCTCTAGTCTATCCTAGGGATCCGCCTATTGTGCACTTTCACTGTTCCTGGAACCCTACACTACATGACCTTTTGGGTCTGGCTTCTTTTACTCGACATGTTCGCATTGTAGGATGTGTCACTATGTATTTTTTGAGGCAGGTATTGGTGATTGGACGCAGGGTGCTTTAACCACTAAGCCACATCCCATGCCCTTTTAATTTTTATTTAAGGTCTCAGTAAGTTGCTTGGTGCCTTACTAAGTTGCTGAGGCTGGCCTTGAACTTTCGATCCTCCTGCTTCAGCCTCCCAGGCAGCTGGGCTGACAGGCGTGTGCCATTGCGCCTGGCTATTTTATTATTTTTATTTTTATGGCCAAGTGATAGTGCCCTGTCGGGCGGGATATGCCATATTTTGCTATTGATCAGCCGACGATGGTCACTTCTCCACCATCTCAGCTCTCAGCTTGCTGTCTCTCTTGCCGCTTGTTTTTGTTCCAGGTGATTTCCTC